ACAGAGGATGAGATGGTTGGACAGTGTCATCGAAGCAACCAACATGAAATTGACCCAACTCCAGAAGCAGTGGAAGACAGGAGGGCCTGGTGTGCTCTGGTCAATGGGGTCACGAAGAGTCGGACACAACTAAATGACTAAACGAATGAATGAACCCAAGGTTAAGAACCACTGGTAAGGCATAGCAGAACATCAGGCAGGTAAACCAAAGGCATCTTTTCCAGGTGAGCATAGTTCCCTTACTTGTGGCCACTGTGTTAGAATGCAAAAGGGCTTCATTCAAGAATAAGTACTACTGTACTGATAATGTAGCAATGACCAAATGGAATAGCCAGAATGTAATGATTCAGCATGGTTTGTTTCCTGGCCAAGGGGCAGTTTAGCACCCTGCCCTCTCCAACAGGCACTCACTTGGCAGCAGCACCCCACCCCACCTCCTCTGGGCACTGCTTCTGAGTGGCGCCTGTCAGAAGGGGTAGGGCACCAACCCACGGATCAACTGTTTGGCTGGGAAATGAAGCACACTGAACTGGTGGTTCATGCCCATGTCTAAAGGTAGCACTCTTTCTTCCTGCTCTGTGAGCTTGCCAGTACTTCCTCACTGTAGGGACTTATCTGCCTTTATACTGAGCAAGATTCTTTGGTGTTAACTCTTATTGTAATGGTTTTTGTGGGTTTTTTGGGCTCTTTGGCCGTGTTCTGAAGGTTGTTCTTCCTAACGTTTCACCAGTCTCTGTGGCCGGCATCTTCAGAGGACAGCACTCTGTGTCCGGCCGTGAAAGCCTTTGTGAATATATCGAATCTTATTGTAATGTTCTGGAAATATAGCCCCAAATAATTTGCTGCCTACAGTAAAGGCAGATAACAGGGGTGGGATCCTCTCCCACCTCAAAGTGGTTTCAAGATAGCACTGAGCCTTCATTATTATGCCCAAATTAGATTGCTCTCTTTCTGTCCCAAGGGCTGACAGTGGAACAGACTTGTTCCCACTACAAGCAGCTTGATCCTGCTGCCCGGTCCCATCAAAACTACTGGCCCTGACAAGCCTTATTGGGTGTGATGATGACGACCAACAAGTCTGCTTTCCTGTGGCCTTAAGAGATATCATAATCTGTATAGGTGTTACTGCAGTGGATATGCCTCTTGATAAATTCAGTTAAAGTATAAGATAAAATAGAAATCATTGAATGATATACACATTTAAAAATAGTAATTGTTATAAATGATATATACATTTGCCTAATGAGGAGATACAATGCAAATTGCATTCTTGCTCAGTGAGGTGAAATGAATGAAAAGTGCATTTAAATCTCTGAGGCCCTGGTCACATGAGAGAAATGCTATCTAGTTATTCCCCAGTTACTTTGTTGGGTTTTTTCCCTGGTCACATGATTCATAGTCAAGATCAAGACATTTTCCTGGCTGGCAGTATAACTGCAGAAGATGTCCCCATCACCAGGAAGTTTGTGTTATTCTGTATCTTTCTTGTACGAGTGCATTCTTTTCTGGGATTGCCTGTGCTCACAATCTGCCTTGCTTCTTTTCGGAATCGAAGTCAGGAATGTGGCCACCATTACTGTAGCATGCATATTAATTTTTATGTTGGTAAAAGTATGCCACCGGGGAGTCACCGCTATTACATTACTGGCGAGTATTTTTTTCTTTCTATGGGAAGATACATGGAACAGTTGGTATACCAATGTCATGGGGGGGGAGGAATGATTGCCAGTGCTACCATGCAGATATCCCATGTCCATTGTGTGCAATTCATTTCTGCAGGTGCACCCAGTGCAAAAGAGGACACTTTCCTAAACAGAACCTCTTTCTTGGTCAACCTTCCCTCTAATTTTCAGCCCAGCTGGGTTGGGCTCAACTCCCCTCCCCCACATGCGTGATTCCTCCCCCCCATGCAGGATTCCATTATAATCAGAATGAAAGAGGCTGGAAAAGTCACTGTGGGTGCATGGGGGGGGAGGAAAGCAGTATGGAGGGGGTGGAGTCAAACATTGTCATGTTGTCACACACCTTAGAGGGAAACTTGTTCCTGATATATCAATGTATCGGTAAATATTATACTGGTATATATAAAAGGGTTAAATTGTCCCTTGAAGCAAGAGAGAAAATAAACCAGTACCATAGTGTAGCCTACCATAACAATATAAATGGGAGGAGATAAATTGGTACCACTAAAAGTTCATAGGATGTTCATCCCACGATATAAACAATGATTCAGTACAACAGAGGTATGGAAAGTATTAAAAAGTAGAAAACATTTCCCTCAAGTGATCAGGCCTGATTTCGTCTATATTGCTTAATAGGTTGCAGCCCAATATACTTCTGCACAAGTATGAGGAAGAAATGTGGAAGCTATTTTCTCGTAATTTATATGTTAGTTAGTTGTATGTTAAGTGCAACAAAGTCAAAAGAATTAATTAATTGATTAATAAAAGGAAGAGGCACTAGAAATCATATTTCAAGTATACATTGGTTACTAATAATTTCACAATAAAATTAGTTCTTTCTAGATTACAGCAAAGCCTTAGATCATATAGATCAGTAAAAGCTATGAATCATTCGTAAAGAAATAAGTATGCTCAATAGTTGGTTGTTCTGATATGTAACCTCTACTCTAGATATGAGGTTGGGACAGAATATGAAAAAAAATGGTTTCCTATAGGTAAATGTGTCAGAGATGCATTTTATTTTTTTTAATTATTAACTAAAACATAAACATAAAATACACAAATCAAAATACAATATAACTGTGTTCCCTTTCCAAACCAAGAAAGTTTAAAATTATTATATTCCTGTAATTTCTTTTTAATTACTTCCTTTAATTTATTATAATGGGAACGGATTGCCGTCCTTAAGCAAAAATCGCCATAGGAAACATCGCTAAGTGAAACGCGGTTCCCCCATTGGAATGCATTGAAACCTTTTCAATGCATTTCAATGGGGGAGAAAAAAAATCACCAAAAATTCAAAAAGAGTCAGAACGAAGCCAAATATGGTTAACAAAGGGTTCATTAAATGCACTAACGATTTTAAGCACTCTAAACCCTTTTTAAACAATTTAACACCTTTTAAAAATAGCGAAAACGGAGCTGTCAAAAACATCGCTAAGCAAAACAGGGGGACCTAAACTGTCATCGCTAAGTGAAGCAAGGTCCTGAACATAGCTATGCGAAATTCCCCCATTGGAAACATCGCTAAATGGAGCACAAGATCGCTGCTAAAACCTCATCGCTAAGCGAATACATCATTAAATGAGGCAATCGCTAAGCGAGGCACCACTGTATATAATTTACCCAAGCCAATCAAGTCCAGCTTCATGGCTAGGGTTTAGTTTACATTAACTGTTCCAAATACTGCACAGGCTTTTACTGAAAACTGCAACTACAGTACTTTTAATCTGCTCTAGTTTAAATCTCCGCTCACCATTGATTCTTACTGCAGAGAGTAAATGGTGTTTGGGGGAGGGGGGAATCCCTGAATATGAAATTCCATCAAAGCTCTAGCCATTTACTTTTGGCATTGAGTCAAAAAACGGCTGAGATCTCCATAATTTCTACCCAGTTATAAACCAATGGGCTGTGACACCTTCCAAATAATTGGTGGTCAGCCAGCTGTTTCTAGCTGTCTCTCTGGGATTTTATAAGAGTCACTTTCTGGCTGGCTGCCTTCTTCCTCTGAAGAATAAGAGCAAAAAGTAAGACTGCTTCTCAGTGGTACAAATTGCAATCCAGACTATTTATCCTGGAATAGATGGTCACCAACTGCCATCAATACAGCAGTTGGTTGCCATACCACTGACGACTTCTACCTTGACCTTGGGCAATCTTTTTCAGGCAGTGTTGTTGGATAAGAAATATTATCTTGGTCTTTGTTATATTTCCTTTCTTCCTTTCTTTTAAGGAGCACAAAGTGATTCTATGCTTCTCTTCATTCCACTTTGCCTACACAGTGACACAGGGAAAAAAAGTAGTTTATGGTAATAGTAGCTGCACAAAAGCCACTAAATTAAATTCACTGTTGTAGCTTTTTTTCTATTGCAAACTGACATCCACAGAAAACAGGCAATAGACCTAAATGTTCTTATCAGAAATATTATTACAAATACCATTTCAGCATTTATTGGAATTTACGGATTTGATTCATCTTTAGACTTTTTGGCTTTCCTCTAAAGTGTACTTATGGTGGGGCATGTAAATGGTCCACTTAGTAATGGGCCTGAGGTAGTTATAACCATGTTAAAGAAGCAAATGATGTGAACTTACTTGTAGACAGTGTACAATTGGAAAATTATGGAATAGTGAATAATGCAAAGGTGGTAGTACGTGGGCTATATGTCCCTCTAAAGATGTTTCTGAATTGCTTCCCAAATTGTGTGCCTTTGATACAGTTGTGTTTGTGTGTGTTTTAAGAATGAAAAGCTTTGTCAGCGTAGCAAATTTGTAGCTCCTTGTATGCAAGCAAAGAAATAATTAGATTTCTGCGGTGTAATCGAGTTTACTTCTTTTGTTCCCCTTTTTTAGTGCGGAATCAGAAGTGGGGAAAGCCAGAATATATTACAGTGTGCATGTTACTGTGATTTATGTTTCAGTTTATAAACCCTGACTATTTCTCCCTTTTCCTAACATAATCAGAGCAGAGTTGATGCCTTGCATTTATTTACATGGCTTTTTCTGCTACATTTCCAGGCTTTGCTCCCAGAGACTATTTTTAAAAAGCAAAATAAAAGGAGAATTGCAGGACACCTTTCAATCTGTTTGGACTCCCTGTTTACAGAAGAGAGATGGAGATGCCATTAAGCACAAAAGGAATCACTGCATGCCTGCTTCTCTTTGTATTAAGTTTGGCAGGAGCTATTGAAATCCCGCTTTCTGGTAAGTTGTAGCTATTTACTGAATGCTGCTCTCCTGGAGAACAGATTAAATCTCACCAATGTGTTGTTTCCATTTTGAGCTTTATTGTGTTCTTGTGCGGCCTATTGGGAATTCATATGTGACGGAAATGTAACTCTGCTTTCTTCTCCTGACTGTTCCACATAGGGCAATAAACATGTGGAAATAAGACATAGTCTGGTAGCTTGAGGTGGAAATTATTGCTACTGCACCAAAGGTTCAGGATGAGTCTTTTGTGCTCTGATTTTTACATTTAGACTTTGTGCCCATTGGAAGGACACCTGGTGTCAAGGCACAACAGAGAACCCCATGGTGGTACTGTTATATCAATTGTAGATAAATAATATAATCTGGTACTTTGTTGAATATTCACCAGAAAAATATTGATCCTATGTGTATTGCAGCTTTGAGTATGCATTTGTTTATTGTTTGTGTTTTTCCCCATATCATCAAAATATGCCATCTAGAAAGAGTGGACACCCTCTAGAGAATTCCCCAAGCACCATGAAAGGTCTCTCCTCTAGCACAAGAACAAGAAAACAGGCTTTGTTTCCTGTTTTCTCCTCTTAGTTGCTTGCACAGCAACTGAAAATGACTTGAAAGATACATGCACACAGCAATCACAAAAAGGCCAGTCTGATTGATAAAAGACGTGAACAACCTATCTAATGCTGCTTTGTTTGCTATTTCATGGAAGAAGGCATCTCTTACATTTTTCAGACATGTACATTTCTCGTGTTTCTTGCCTGCTGTGAAAGGATGAAATAAATCAAGATTTTTACATCCATAGAAAGAAGTTTTCACTAAGTCAAGGATGGAATCTGTTTAGTGCAGAAGTAGGCAAATTTTAGTGGTCCAGTGACACATATATCCACTTTGGACCTTGGAAGTCTGCAGCCACAGTTCTTTTAATTTAATTTTAATTATGGGGGGGGGACGCACCTTCTTGCCCAAGTAAGAACTGGTAATTTTGTTTTTCAAAAATAGTGTATCGGAAGGAAGTGATTCTGGGAAGAGCGCAATTGTGGGGAAATTGCCCCACATGCCCTAGGGGGATTTTTGAGTGGAAAAAAAAATGGAGGATTGGGGATCCAGGGAGGCTTAGATTCTGCATTTGGGCCTCAGGAGTCTTCATGCAGCCCATAGACCGTATTTGTCTGTGGGCAAGTCTATAGCCTCCCAATATTGTTTGCATTGATGACATCCATTGAGAAGATGCAACATCTCCACCCTGAAGCCCTCCATGTGAATGTGATATTGAGCAGTCTGAGTCAGGATGCCTAAAGGCCAGAGGTTATGAGAATTGTATTCCATAACCTGGAGGGCAAAAGGTGGGTGATTAGAATAGATATTCTAGAAAAGGTCTTGAATATACAGATATCCTTCAAATAATCCAAACCAAATTGTTCAGCACTTTAGAACTTTGAAAATGGTAACTGTGAACAGTCCAGAAATCCAGTGGTCTTAGTAGTACAGAATGAATAGTAAAAAAAATAACAACAGTTGATTCTTACATGGTGTATCAGTCCAAAACAAAAGAAAAATTAAAAATAAAACATTGCGGCACCTTAAAGGCTAACTGTTGTATCTTAATGTGAGTTTTCACGGACAAGTCCATTTCCTCACATTCCATGAAAATTGGCGTTAAAATACAGCAGTTAGTCTTTAAGCTGCCACAACATTTTTGTCTTCATTATTTTTTAACTTTTGTTTGTTTTGGACTGATAGGCTAACACAGACTAACACAGACCTCTTCTAATGCTCCATAGTAGGTACTGAGGAATGTTTTTGCAAAAGAGAAATGTACCTCCTCAAGCATCAGGTCCTCATGTTGGTTAATCCTTTCTCCCAGCAGTAGGATGGAGTCAGCATTTTATATAATCCATGCCACGGCACAGAACTGCTGTTCTATTGTTCTCTCCACATAGCCCTAATCAATTGCACAGTGCTCACTTTTTTAACATATCACACTGAAGAGAAAAATATATAACCTATTTAGAGTCTGATCAGAGAATTTGAACTTAATGTTGGAAATGTGGATACCTCTTGGCTTTCCATATCCAAGAAAATTAATTACTCCTCCTAGAGTCCTATTAGAATTCTATGTGAAACCACACAACTGGAATATCGTCTACTTATTCCATAGACTCACCCCCTTTCCCAATTATTCAACCTTTCTTTGACCTCACATTCCCATTTGATTCTGAATATCTGTTAATGAAGCTCTTTTATGGTTTTAATAAATATGAATTATATTTGGCTATAAACAAGCTGGGCAGATCCTGGTGCCACTGAAGATGTTGAAGATGAGAGACCATATGGTGCAGCAAGATACCACATTCTGTATGAGCACTGAGTTTTCTGGTTCACTGGGCTTAAAGCATGTCTAGTCAGTATCCCTAATATTCATCCCTGTAATTTATAACAGAGCGGTAATTCTATTATGGTCAATTACTCTTCAGGGCACAATTTCCATTTTTATAGTTTGGTTATGTGGAGATTCACAACACTTTAATTTATTCAGGATGGTAATAATAATAATAAAAATTGTAAATTGTGAAGTGGATGATTTGCATAGTAGCAAGACCCATTCATCCTGAGTATGCATGGTTCCAGAAGGAAGATGCTGAGACTCAGTAGCTGATGGATTTATGTTGGCATCATGTGCAATACAACTTAGATCATCAACATCATTTACTTAACTGTATGCATCTTTTTTTTCTTTTTTAAGCCCAAGAATTGTGCAGTAAATTATATTACTTTTGAATAGCCTCTGAACAACTTAATTTTATTGATTACTTTATACTGAATTCCTTTGAGAATATGGCAAACCTGAAGAAACAGGTCTTATGTTGCTTTTAGAAAAATTCATAGCCACAATGTGGCCATGGAGGCCACTCAAAATTTCTCTATGGCTTTCCTTCATGCAGCAGGGAAACCCCAATCATTGATTTCACCTAGCTGTGAGCTCCCCCCGCTGCCCCACTAGAGGACACACAGAGTCTATATAATACTATATTCGCAAGTTATCACAGATTATACATTTTCAGTATGTTATTAACTATGCCACCCACTAGGGATGTGGAGCATACTTGAAGAATACCTTATTTTCAGTGATCTTCTAAATCTTGCCATGCTGGGATTCCTCATCAAGATTTCAGTGAGATTTTTAGCTTCCTGCAGAAACAAGCTCCGCTCCCCTCGTTCCCCCCCCACCATTTATTTTGTTTGTTTTCAGCTATTCTTTGGGACAAAATAAAAGCCCTGATAATTTCTATGCAGCTGAATGTCTTTTCAACAGAATATTGTGCAGGAAAGTGGCCATTATAATACTGAACAGATTGGTGGTGTGCCCCCCCTTGGAAGAAAAAATAGGTCATAAAATATCTCATAAACCCCATCAAAATTTCCCAAGAGATTTCTGAAGGAAAAAAAAACCTGGCAGAGAAATTTTGCTATGAGGAGAGTTTTTCTCCCTCCATTTCTCACACAGATCAAGAGGTGACTGGGTTCATATTAATTCATGGTATCTGGTTGTCAACTTTCTTTCTTTTTTAAACTTTTATTACCACTAAAAAAGAACAATTAAAGTAATTAAATAATTATCACAATATAAGCACATAACCAAGATAACTTTCAATGTTCTCTTACGCAAAATAGTAAGTCTTTAACATCTTTACTTCCTTATTTTCCATGACACATTTATTTTCTTCGCAGTCTTAATAATACAGTGGTGACTTGAATTAAGAACTCAAGCTGGTCGTAACTCAAAGCACCATTTCCCATAGGAATAAATTGAAACACAATTAATCCATTCTGGCCATTTTTTGGTTGTATCTCAAGGAGCCAGTTGTAAGTCAAGCGTCCTCCTCTTTTCTTGTCTTCTTGCAAGTATTTCAGTTTTATTCTCAGTTTTCTCCCCTGCCAAATAAAATTTGAGAGTTGTTTTCTCCACAAATGAAATGGTTTGTTATTTATTATTATTCTGAAATAGAAATACAAATATAGGTAATATTATCATTTTAACAGTTGCTATTCTACCACCAATGAGATTTTTAAATGTTTCCATCTCTCTAAATCTTTCTTGATTTCTTTCCCTTTCTTCTTGTAGTTTTGTTCAAATAAATCCTTTGTCTTTTTATAGTTATACCCAGATATTTTACTTAATTCATGGTTGTCAACTTTCCATAATACAGGGGTTTAAACCCTGCATCTGTCTTTCTTATACAAGAGCAAGAACTACAAAATTGTTCTTCCTACACACAGGAAGGTGACATATTTTCTGTCCAACCCAGTAGTTATAACTACTCAACCCCACCAAAGGTTTTCATATTTGTGCAAATGTTTGCATAAGTAATGCAACTACAGCAATTGCTGCCTTGTTGTATGGATATTTAAAAATTAGTAAGATCAGATGGATCAGCAACTTTCCACTCAGTTAGTCTGTCTGTACTTGTTCCTTATGTGTGTATGTGTCTGTATGTGCACACACATACACTTATCTTCACCAAGGGAAAAGATACTAGTTTTTGCATAGATTTTTTTTTACAGAAATTGGGGGAAACTTGACTGGAGCACAGGCACACCTCTCATCCTTGCGCTGGATGTGAGAAATCAAATTGGGACTTCAAAATTCCTTGCTGAAGAAAAATGAAAATAATTAAGACAAGGAATTTAGAGAAAGTTTGCCATATCCTCATAGGGATGCTTGAAGAACTCCCAACTGTCCAGACCTGCATCTCTGAGATAGTTGTATGGATGGGAAGCAACTTGTCCTTTTCTGCTTCCTGAATATTCTGACCCAGTTATTAGCTTTAAGAAAAAGTAAAATATGCTTGGAAATATGTACTTTAATACAAAATATGACTACAATTTTCTGTTTAGAGATAGAATATTTCTTAAAATGTATATTTAAAATAGTATGAGATACATTGTGTGTACTATAGGTTCACCTGTTTTTCTACTATCATGTAAATATAAGGTATCCTGGTCTATGCAGAACCACTGCATATGGATAATGGTGGTTAACACCTGCAGCCATTTGCCTCACATGAGGGAATGAAAGGAAACATATTGATAGAAAGAACAGGTAAAGGGTAAATGAAATGCAATGTTTATAACTTTTTACAGGTGTGGTTGGGATATTCATTCAAGTATTCTTTATTTCATTATGTTACTGTTTTTTCTGTTTCAGTGAGACAGCTCCCAACAATCACAGCTCAACCAACCGATCAAGTAGCATTCCCTTTTGATGAAGAGTTTACAGTCAAGTGTGAAGCTAAAGGAAACCCACACCCAATGTATGTTTCTTGCAACGACTTAAGGATAATGCTTTTTATTTTTTACTTTGGTACCCAGTTTCGAACCTTTACCCTGCTGTTTATCACTATTACATTAAAGTGGTATAATCAACCCAATTGCTGATAGAATATCAAACCAGACCAGTAGAGTCTTATAAGTTGTTTAACTTTATATTTCCTGTTTAACAGTAGTTGTGACAGCAGCAGAGCTGAAACGTATAGCAAAATAAAGTGTCAATATATTATGGTTGTGGTGGGTTTTTTTTTGGGGCTCTTTGGCCGTGTTCTGAAGGTCGTTCTTCCTTTGTTCTGCCATTCTCTGTGGCCGGCATCTTCAGAGGACAGGAGTAGGAACTCTGTCCATACTCTGTTCCTA